CCTACACAATGAGCATGGTGTAGTCACGCACAATCAACTTAATTAATTTGGAGGCTCGCGGTCAAATTACATAAAGTCGACTTTATTTTGTAGTGTAGACATGCACTCAGACTTCCTCCCTGGGTGCTGCAGGGCATCACCAAATGTCTTACCCCTCTTACTCTGGTCTAGATCCCCATCAGCAAAAAGTTTTTGAGCATGCACCCCCTGCCCCCGGCCAAACGGAAAAAAAAAAAAAAAAAAAAGCTGTTCGGACTCTCAGCCGAACTGCCGGGGGGCGGGTGGGGAAGTCCTCCTGCCGCGCACCCTGAAGGATCCTCTTGCGCACCCCACTTTGGAGACGACTGGTCTAGATCACAGACTGGCGAACTGGCCCATAATAACCAGAAAAAGAGAGAGGCTAACTTAAGGACTTCACACTCAGATTTTTTCATTTTTAAGAGCCATTATCAAAATATTTTCAAATGTTTGTTTTTCTAAAATTTCTGCATTCATTTCTGTTCTTTGGAAAGGCCCTGGTGACTAGAGCTATGTGGATAATGGATCTCCTGTTTGCTAGCAATTCTGAAAAACAGGGAAGAATAAGTGCTTTAGGTCAAACAAAGTGGTTTGTTTAGATTTTGACCGTTTTAAGATGCTCATGATTGTTTTTTAATAAAATTATAGGAAATTGGAAAAAATCATTTTGAATTGAAAAATTGAAATGTTTCATTTTGAACATGTGGCAGCAAAAATGTTTGTTTTTTTTAATTGTCTTTGTTTTTTTGACTGCACCAACATGACAAAACCAACACGAATTAGTTACTGAATCTGAATTTTTTTGCTGGAAAAAAATTTAAGATAATTTTTTTTTGCTCACCTCTTAACCTGAGCCTAAGAAGGAGCCAGAATTTATCAATGTACATTGCCAAAGAGCCACGGTAATAAGTCAGCAGCTCCCCCCCCCCACTCCCAGCGCCTCCCGCCCACCAGGGCCTCCCCCTCCACCTCCCCCTCCCTCCCGATCAGCTGTTTCGCAGCATGCAGGAGGCTCTGCGTGGGAGGAGGAGGAGCAAGGGCATAACAGGCTCAAGGGAGGGGGCAGGAAGGGGTGGACTGGGGGCAGGGCCTGTGGCAGAGCCAGGGGTTCAGCAGTGAGCAGACCCTGTCACATTGGAAAGTTGGCGCCTGTAGCTCCAGCCCTGGAGTCGGTGCCTATACAAGGAGCCACATATTAACTTCTGAAGAGCCGCGTGTGGCTCCGGAGCCACAGGTTGGCCACCCCTGCTCTGGACTGTGTTATCACAAATAATGGCTAAGTTTTTAGTTATCAAAAGTGAGTGAAATCCTAGAAGTAAAAAAAATCAGAAAAAATTACCTCCATCTGAAAGGCTGGGAGATTTTTTGGGAATTGTTTTTTGTTTGTTTGTTTTGAAGATGATTTGTCTTGGAATAAGCTGGATCTCAAATGTCCAACAGGAGAATATGCCTATAACATTTTTTTCCCCTTGTCACTGCAGGTTATTCCTAGAAATGTAAATTGAAATTCCACCAGAGGCAATATATCTAATGTAGTTGCTTAGTGAACCAAGGGCTTTATTTAAGAACTTGGTGCACTGCAAGGTCAACTTCTCAAGTACAGCTTTAAACTCAGTGCCTGATGGAGAGTGCCTCAGAAAAATATATGAAAAATTGTTTAAAAGAAGCACAATTCCTTACATAAGAATGGCCAAACTGGGTCAGACCAATCATCTATTTAGCCCAGTATCCTGTCTTCTGACAGTGGCCGGTGCCTGATGCTTCTGAGAAAATAAACAGAACAGGGCAATTATTGAGTGATCCATCCGCTATTGTCCAGTCTCAGCTGCTGGCTGTCAGAGGTTTAGGGGCACCCAGAGCCTCAGGTTGCCTCCCTGACCATCTTGACTAATAGCCCTTGATAGACCTATCCTCCCTGAACTTCATTCTTTTTTTAACCCGCGTATACTTTTACCTTTCACAACATCCCATGGCAATGAGTTGCACAGGTTGACTGTGTGTTGTGTAAAGAAGTACTTCCTTATGTTTGTTTTAAACCTGCTGCTTATTAATTTCATTGAGTGACCCCCTAGTTCTTATGTTATGTGAAGGGTAAATAACACTTCTTTATTCACTTTCTCCACACCATTTATTATTTTATAGACCTCTATCATATCCCCCTGAGTCATCTCTTTTCTAAGCTGAACTGTCTCCTTTTTTTTAATCTCTCCTCATATGGAAGCTGTACCATATCCCTAGTCATTTTTGTTGCCCTTCTATGTATTTTTTCCAATTCTAATATATCTTTTTTTAGCTGGAGAGACCGAACTGCATGCAGTATTCAAGGTGAATGCATCCCAGGGATTAATATAGTGGCATTATATTATATTTTTGTTCTTATTATCGCTCTTTCCTAATGGTTCCTTATTGATTTATTTTCTTGTCTAGATGGCAGGGGGGAGGGATAGCTCAGTGGTTTGAGCATTGGCCTGCTAAACCCAGGGTTGTGAATTCAATCCTTGAGAGGCCCATTTAGGGAAGTGGGGTAAAAACTGTCTGGGGATTGGTTCTGCTTCAAGCAGGGGGTTGTCAAAGGCTTTCTGGAAATCTAAGTACACTATGTCCACTGGATCCCCCTTGTCCACATGTTTGTTGACCCCCTTCAAAGAACTCTAATAGATTAGTAAGACACAATTTCCCTTTACAGAAACCATGTTGACTTTTGCCCAACAATTTATGTTCTTCTAGGTGTCTCACAATTTATTCTTTACTATTGTTTCAACTAATTTGCCTGGTACTGACATTAGACTTACCGGTCTGTAATTGCCGGGATCACCTCAACACCTTTATGAGAAACAAGAGTATTATTAATCCCCACTTTTACAACAGGAGGATCTAAGTGACTTGCCCAAAGTCATGCAGACAGTCTGTGGCAGAACCAGGAAATGAACCCAATCTACTGAATTCCAATTTGGTGCCTTAACCAAAAGACCAAATCTATTCTGTGTCTATCTTTTAGACTGTAAACTCTTGGGAATGAGAACTATATTTTTGTGTCCTGTTAGTGCTCAACAAATACAATAAGTACAATAAATGAGACATGCATCTACAAATACACTCTTACAGTCTTACCCCTCTTACTCTGGTCTAGATCCCAGACTGGCGAACTGGCCCGTAATAAACAGAAAAAGAGAGAGGCTAACTTAAGGACTTCACACTCAGATTTTTTCACTTTTAAGAGTGATTATCAAAATATTTTCAAATGTTTGTTTTTCTAAAAGAGACATGCATATACATGTACAGTCACACTCTTAAGTTTTCTCCTTTGTGCACTAATGTATTTTGATTCATGTCTATCTCCGATGACTGAGAGAGATTGCTGCCAGGCCAAGAAAGGGAAAGTATGCAGCAGTTGCCACTGAGTTGCTGTATTGTTTAGTTAAAGGAACAATAGCGAAAAAAGTATTTCTCCTTTTTATTGCAGCTTCTTTTCTTTACCAGCAGAGATTGAGCCAGTAAATCATCAGGGAAGCTGGGATGGAAGAAGCCTTAGCTGCTGTCCGGAGTATTCTTTAAAACGGAGAAGGAAATGGCTTTTAGTTGTTTGTTTTATTTTGTTTTGGTTTAACTCCACTAGGGCTTATCTTCCTTTACCAGTGAGGGTTATGCCATTAACCACCACTGAAGCAGGAAAATGTTATGTAAATATTATGCCCCCTATTCTCTTTCTGCTGGCATTACCTTTTTCATGTGCAAACAGAGATCATATGAACAAGTCATCAGACAAGTCTTTAACAAATATTTTTATATTATTTACTTGATTTATTTATTTGTTTATTTAAAAAGAACTGAATAATGATGTTCTTTAACATGTCCTTTAATTATTGAACTGTGTCTTTGGACCACCGGAGACAGCAAATACAAAATGTATTTAATTAGCAAATAAACTGGTTTTACATCATGAAAGCAATTTATTTACAATAGCTTATTTAAATTCCCGTATATTAGCAGAAGGTGTGTTGTACTTTAATGTTGTTGTTTCTAACTGCAGACAAATTGACATATTTAAAATCAACTGTTGTAAGATTTTATTGATGAGAAATTAAGTGACCCATTTAGAATTCTCACCTGACAATTAGATAGATGCCCTTTGTGTGCAACTGTTTGAAGCCATATGTTGTTCTGGATAGACTAGTTTATACAAGATCATACATAGTCTAAAAGTGTAAAGAGGAAACTGGAAATTAACTGACTGTAATTTATGCTTAACGATTAATTTGGAATACAGTGGTTCAACTGCAGCATAAATGAACAGTGCAGTCAGTGATCTAGTCAGAAATCTTTTAAGACATTTAAAGGATTTGTAAAAACCTATTGGACCTTGTATAAAGAAAAAGTAGTTGAAATGACACACTTTGCTCATGGTTCACATGAATATCTTTGCTCTGCAAGATATTGCAAAAGACATGTAGTGTACAGATCTCCGCTGATATACACCATACCATCTATTGATGGAAGAAGCAGTTGGATTGGTCCTTGAAGCTCTTGCAGTGTTAACCTACCAAGCAATGATACTCATGAAATATACATCCCATTGTCTTTAAACACTATCAGAAGCTCTTGCTATCATTTTATTGAGATAATAATGGTTAGCAATTAAAATACTAAAAAAAAAAAGGTTTTCAGGCTATAAATATTGTTTATGTATTAGTAGTCTAATTCTGTAATCCCTTTTTAAAATAGCCATTCAGGACTATCAAAATAATGTACTCTGAAACTAAAGTTACATACATTTAAAATCTCTCTTCAAAGTTAATTTAAACTGTTTCTAGCTTTTAGAAAAGCAGTCGTGTTTATAATTGTTCAAATGTGACTTAAAGAGAATCTGTTAAGGATGTCAACTTTAAATGTTTTTGATGCAACTGTAGCTTTTTTAAAAAGTAGATTAGAAAAGATGAGTTAGAATGATAACTGATTTTGACACTGTTTCCTTAAATTCCTAGGCCATGGAAAGTGTGACTGTGGGAAATGCAAATGTGATGAAGGCTGGTATGGTGACTCTTGTCAGTACCCAACTACTTGCAACCTTACACGGAAGAAGAGCAATGAAATGTGTAAGAATTCTCAAGATATTATCTGTTCTAATGCAGGTAAGATATTTTCCTTAATGGTTAAAGTTCTTCCTGTGTTACCTTGTATATTGTGATGACATTTGACATGGTTTAATTAAAACTTCACAGAATATGGTTTTAAAGATTGTTTGGTATACTTATAGAGACATACTAAACTTCTGTGAAATTCTATTCGTCAGCATGTGTGTGTAATGGAATTCAGATAATACAATGAAAATGAGTCAGCAGGCTGAGTCTTTCCTTTGAAATTGACATGGACTCCAGCTGTTCTGAATGACTTCTTCATCCAGAAAAATCAGTGGGAAAAATGTAACCCAAACTGTAGTATGCAGATTGCTAGACATGATATGCAATGCTAGTTTAAACTTTTTATAAGGATTTATGTGAAAATATTTTTATGACTTTTAAATTACCTCTAAAGTGTACTCAAAATGCTTTCTTTAGTATCCTGGCTCATCCATAACTATTTTAAATTGATGAAAACTCCAGCTGTGCCAGATGTTTTACTCATCAAAAGGATGTGGTAACAACATTTACACTGAGAGGGGCTTAGATTTTTTTTTTGTTTTGGTCAGATGCAAAGGAGGCATTTGCAAACATCCCTTCTGGAAATTTAAACAGGAGCTTTAACACTGATTATTAAAACTTGCTATCACAAAACATTTGCCATGTAATTTTGGTTATGGAACCTCCAGCCAAAACCCTTCTACATTCTGAGCTGTTGTAACTCTTTTTATCCTTTGTTTAAGTTTTATGATTCGTGCTGACCTCCGTGGGAATTACCAAGTAGATAAACAGGGGAAGATACAACTATCTTGAAGATCCAGCTGCACAGCCTTAAAATTTTGGTGGACATTTGCAGGCAATCTGAACTGAAATCAGATTCTGCTGATTAACATTCACAAATCTCTATGTGAATCTGGCAGTGGGAGGAGTTGCCAAGTTCACACTTTTGCCCAACATTGCCAGTATTTTAACTTACATTTAAGCCCATACACGTATGTAATTTTATACTTACGGGATAGTTCTCTTACTCATTTTGGCATTTTGGCACTAAACTAATGACTAAGCATTGTCATTCCTTTGCTGGAGATAACATAGACTGCAAAAGTACTAGGAATTATTTTAGCTGAATCTAATCCATGTTTGATATGATACTTGTTACTTGACTATAGGCAGGAGAGAAATTAAGGCAGGACTGTTTGGTGAAGACTCAATCAGCTGCTTAAGGGTAAGACTGAGAGCTCAATTTTAAAAAGGGAGGCAGTTTGTGTGCAGGCAAAGCTCTCATTAAAGACTAGGTTTTCTTGTAATCAGAGCTGCACTCTCTCTCCTTTTGCTTTTCTGTTTATACAAAAACCTTTAGTTTCTGCCTCTTTCTTCAAGTGGGGCACCTTAAAACGTGACAGTAAAACCCAGAGTTGTGGAAATTCTCTTTGTGAAAGATATCTGGTTACTGGACCTAGGTTTGTTCTATGTAGTCAGTTTATATTGTCATGTTTTGGTATTTTCTTCAATGCAATAGTGAAACACTCTCCTACATCTTGTCAGATATTGAGATATTGATGGGCAAAGGGAAGTGTTGAACAATAGAGAGTCATTATCAAGTCTTACATCAGAAATGAGCCATGATCCAATGTGTCAGAGAGAGAGAGAGAGATGAGAGAAACTACAAAAACAAAGTAACTGACTTACCACTTTGAACAAGAGAAGGACCACGACTTGGTTATAAAGCTACATCTACACAGCTCCCTCTTTGCTAAACATCATATAGACCCAGATTATCAAAGGCGGCCCGAGCAATTGTGGAAACAGATAACATACACACATGTTTAAATTAGACACACAAATAACTCACATATATGTGTAAATGTTAAGCAGAGCATTCTTCTGTGAGGTGTTCCAGGATCTGCACCACCTACCTGTTTCTTTCTGGGTGGAGTTTAAAATACTGTTTTTGATAAAGACCTAAATGAGGGTTTGGCTCTCAACATGAGATATCATCAGTTGTGATCAGCTGAAATGCATGAGCTGAAGCCCCCTCATGGTAAAAGAGAGGATGCTGCTAGGAGAGCTTTCTCCCTGAGCACCTCTTTCCTTTTGAATTCACTCTCCCCCATCTCTTGGCTGGAGATGGCCTGAGTCTGTTCATTTCTGAGATTCACTGAAAAACCCAACCAGCTGAGCAGCCATTTGAGCTGGCTGAGATTGGAAGGATTTGGAGTAGGTTGTGGGACTTGAGGCAGGAATGTTTTTAGTTTTGTAATGTCTTTTGTTTACTGGCTATGATTGGTGTTGTGCGGGTTTGGCCACTGGGCTGCTCCTATCATTTTGTTTAGTTATGGACTATGTTTTTTTAAATATTTGTCAGATTGCCTAGCAGCTGGAACGGGTATCTGATATATGTGTGACACTGAAGTAACAAGTATATCATCGTGTATTTATTGCAAGTACTTGCCCAGTTAGGCACCAGGTCTTTCACTCAGGGAGTTGACCTTCATTGCTTTATTCTTAGACTCTAGAGTTCATATCTGAAGCAGAAAGAAATATATATATATTTTCAAAAACACAAGCCTACCATGATGATAGGAGCCCAACTGCCCAATACATTTTCTATAAATGCATGCACACAGTTGTGCATAAAGCTGGTTGAATAACTTGTAATGAATGCATTTTTTCTCCTTTTCTATTTGTGAATCATCTGCTGAGAAATTGGAGTTTTCTTGAAGTTATTCATTATCCAACATTGTTCGCTAATGAACTTCAACAAATAATTCTAGATCTGTAGCTTATTTGTAATCAAGTTCTTGTCATTGTTTTTAAATTCAAGTTGTTTAGCTTAGGCATGTAGATCACATGGCATGTTTCTATTCCCAGTCTGAACGAGTGTGACACTCAGTCTAGTTTCTATTGTAAATACAGATCTGAATTTAAAAATTGATATCTGCAATAGTATCATGTATTATTAGCTTGCATGTGATGCTTTGGATACCAGTTTTTATTCCAGTAATCTCATCTACTGAATTTTGGTGGAAAGCAAATACACAAGAGGCATGAACACAGCTGAAGCAAACTCCTAGATAACTTTGGAATGCAAATTGCTGATTTTCTTATGTTTATTCTGGTAGTGCCTGGGGCCCCATTATGCTAGGAATTGTACAAACACAGAACAAAAAGACAGTGTCTGCCCCAGCGAGCTTACAGTTTAAGACAAGAGACAACAGATGGATGTAGACAGACGGATGGGGGAGTACAAGGAGACAATAAGACAGTATTGTCCAGCATGATGAGCTGTGGTCTCAATGCACCAGCAGGGAAAAGGGAAGGGATATAACATATGAGCAGAGTCATCAGAATGATGATCAGCAGATGTTATGTTAGTTCCACAAGTTTTTGTTTTGTTTTGTTATTTAAGCCCTAAGTTGCTTAAGTGAGTTATTTTAACTCAGAAAAATGCAAAACAATGAACTTAAGATCTAAAAAATGAAAGAATGGCACCA